ACGCTTAGAAGGAAAGGCTGGCTGTGGAACTTCTCGTCGTTGCTTTGCTAATCGCTTTCAATGTAACTAACGTCGATTTTCTAGTTAAATGAAACCTCTTTTGGTTTGTTTTTTTCCGTCGATCTTGTTTTCCGTGCTGAGCACCAATGCTGCCGACGTGCCAGGAAGGCAGCAGCTCTCACACCTGGACCCTACCTATCGACCCATCAACTCATGAACCGGGGACCAACGGCTTTACTTCCCATCCGAAGGAAGGCGTGATCAGAGATGCCTCAGAACATCCCGGCGGCGCCGACTGGAATTGAACCCATGCCTGCTGGGGTGAGAGGTAATCACGCTTACCACTACACCACCAGCGCCGTTAAAAAACGAAACCTCATTATGGCTTTCAATGCCTTTTCACGATCACTCTATCATCGCTCTTTCAATTTGTTTAAAATGCGTTATGTCCCGTTTTCGATAATTTTTTTTAGATAAATATATGGATGGAAGATAAATTAAAAATATGACGTGTAATCTTCAAGTGTTTTGACGTAAGAAATGCTTTAAATGTGTTATTTCATTTTCCGTCATATACGTCATGAAACCTCTGTTGATGTGTTTCATGAAAGAGAAAACTATCAAAGTCGAGCGCTCTTTCGCTCATCCGTTTCGACGAAGCTTGAAAGGAAGACCAATGGAGCGACGGGAGAAAGAGAGACAAGCGATTGAATATTTGTTTGTGAGGTTCTAGAATGCTGCGAAGCTGTTCGACTTTAACAGAAAAAGAAAGCCAGCAGTCTCTTCGTCGCATCGAATCGGTCGATTGAAGCTGATATTGTGACGCCCTGCTCAGGACAGCTCAATTAACTTCAAGTAAATTGCAGGAGTAGTTCAGCTAACCTCGACAATTTTTCGAAAACTTCAGCAGAGTTCCAAGAGCATCAGATAATTATCGGAACATCAAGAGAATGCAGGAACAGCATAAGGAAACCTGATGAATGTGGGCGCCTTTGTGGAATACCTGTATAAAGATAGAGAGAAGGATTAATTTTTTAATTCAATTTAATTCCACTACCTTATTTGCTTATTCTTGACAGATACGCGTATTTCTTCTACAATGTGCAGACTTCTTCAATGTCTGTGTCAGTGCCAGTGTCTTGTACTAATACTCGACTCGATAAGACACTGAAGAAGTATGCACATTGTAGACGAAATACGCGTATCTGTCAAGGGTTCGCAAATAAGGTAGTGGAATTCAATGGAAATTACTAATTCTTCTCTCTCTTTAAGCATAAGGAAAGTTCGGTAAACTTACGAGCGATTTCAAAAACATAAGAAAAAAAAATGCTAAGACCAAGTCTTCAGCAGAGATTAAAGAGCTTCAAGGCTGTTCCATTAGTTGCAGCCAACTGCAAAATCTTTAGGGCAGTTCAGACAACTTCTGAGAGTTTTAGCGGAATTAAGGACAATTTTGTTAACTTTAGAGAAGCTTAGAGTACTTTGGAGAAGATCAGATAACTTTAAAGCTGTTGTGTAAATTTCAAGAAGTTGTAGGAAACTGCACGAAGTCCCGATGAACTACGGAAAATCCCGATAATTTCAGAGATGTTCCGAAAAGCGGAAAATTGCATGATCTTAAGGAAAGTTTCAAAAATTCCAGGATGATTTCCGTGACATTAGGCAATTTCAACTAACTTTAGGAAAGTCTACAGAAGTTCATGGAAGCTTAGATATATGAAATAAAGAAGAGAGGAAAGGAAAGCCTACCCAACAAACAATCGTATATTGAAGAAACGACTTCTTGGCCATTTTATTCAACTGCATGCTTAACAGTACTTGTACTATTTTTAATAATAACTTCTGTTCAGGCTTTGTTCACACAAATCTGGAGAATTTATTCAACCATAACACATTGAACTACTTGGTGTTGTATAAGATGTATCGAGAAGCTTTTATTCGACTCATATGAGTTGTAACAGAGTTTATACGATACAATTTTTGATTATTCAGAGTTTATTAGACATCACTCTGCTTCCTTAAAACAGTGATGCTCTGTATACGCTTGATTCTCATGTGAAGTAACGTTTAATTAGACTTAATTATACATTTATTAAACGATTATTCAACTGTGGGAAAATTAACCCGAAAATAAGAGGGACAGGGACAGGGAAGGTTGTGTTCTTAAGTGTATTGTATTTCATTAGTTCTGACGTGGCTCGCACCACACAGATATTAGACAATTTATTAAATACTTATACTTGTCTATGTATAGGATTCGAACCATGTACCTTCCGATCACCAGCCGCTTACCTTGTCATCTGAGCTATCCTAGAATTCATCATATGGGCAACTCAATAATCAATAAAAGCTTGCATGAAAGTAAATACCTATCAGCACTCCCGATCGCAACTCTAGCTCCTTCTAGGCCCTGTGGGAATGATTAATTCATTCATCGTTGCTTTAAATGAGACCAATGTTGCCTCTTCACGTCTCCAAGTCGAAAGAAAGGATACTCGGTTATATTTTAAACTAGATCAATGCATTCATTATCGTGAGTCATGTGATCGATGATTACTATTTAAATTAATTAGACGTAGAACCCAAATAGAAAAAGGGTTGAGCTTGGGATTGAACTTACGACCTTCTAATTGGAAAGCGGAAACGGTAACCACTAATCTACTGATTCTGCCTTGTTGTTAGACTGAATCAGTTTTGTCGAATAATGTATCTTATACGTCATTTATAAGAGCAATTATACTGACTGTATTCACCTTTATTCAGCAATATTGTAAAGTAAATCTAATAATGGAGCTGAAGTACATTTATATGACGTCTGAATAAGCATCTTATTGAATCAATTGAAAACAGGCGAACTAAATAAAGTGTCAATGTATGACAAATCACACTTATTCAGTTTGTTATAAGATCAAACTTCTGGTTCTGAATAAGGAAGTCAATCAACGTTTACAAAGCTTTTAATAAGGAAATGGATCATATCAGAGCAAACGGCGGAATAAAGGCGAATCTATCGATCTCAATGAGCTATTTCAGCACATAATTCGACATCCTGTTTTATTCAGCATTATACACTGTTATACAGCATTTATTCAATGTTTATGCTTATTTGTGACTTTGATTTGTTTGTTGGGTAGATCTTTAGGGTAATAACAATAAAATCTTTATGGGAACAGAGCATTTAAAGGCTAAATAGCAAAAAATTAAATGATTTTCTGACTCAACCTTCTCCAATTTGCATGAAACTTTGCAAACTTGTATGTTATGGTCAATCGTTTGCATACAACGATTTTTTTTTCTCGATTTCTTTTCCGTCGAACTTGATTTCCGTGCTGAGTACCAGTACAGACGACGCCAGGGAGGCAGTTCCCACACCTGAACCCTACTCATAAACCGATCAACTCATAAACCGGGGACCAACGGCTTTACTTCTCTTCCGAAGGCGTGATCAGAGATGTTATGTCTCAGAACATCCCGGCGGCACCGACTGGGATTGAACCCATGCCTGCTGGGGTGAGAGGTAATCATGCTTACCACTACACCACCGGTGTCACTATTCGATCATTTTGAATCATGCACACATATGAAAATGGTGTATTCTTAAATTTCAATAACTCGAAAAGATCACTTCCAATCGAAATGACGTCCGAGACAATTTCAGAAAGATAAACACGCTTAAAACAATCAAGTGATGTTGGGTAAAAAAATTGTTTAATTCTTCAATAACAAAAAATACAGCCCACAAAAAAATGTTTGAAATTTTTTGATTTGATCATTCGTGAAATATGGTAACTGCGGTAAAATTTTCGAGTTATATTCTGAAAAATTGCCATATATCATAAAACAAGAACTTTTGGTATTATGTTAAAGCTTTATGTTAATTCAACTTTTAATATTTTTTGCAAAGAAAACAATTTTTAAAGTCTAGTTTTCTGTGCAAAATTTAACAAAAAAAACTATAATCTTAAGTTCCAAAATGTAACCCAAAGTTTAGCTAAAATATCGCACTAAATCCAAATTGTAGGTAGGCACAATTTCGATAAAAGTAACCCGAATCAACAGTACTTCCAAAGTGCGATTCCTCCATTCTAATCTATTTTCAGATTACTGCAACTCCAGCTTACCATGTAAACAACAAAGATTGCAAACACTTCACTGCTAACCGCAAAAACTTGTTTGAAACCTTCAAAACTGTTACCCCTCTTGACACAGTTCCAGTTTACCGAGAATTCACTCCCAATTGGACGGTCGAACGGACGGCCGAGCGGACACGCACCAATCGCACCGCAAATGTTCAGCATTTAGCATGACGGATCCAATCACAGACACCTATGACCGATATCCATCGGTCAGCTGCAGGCAGGGGGTAGTTGCATAAGGGAAAGCAGAGCACATGCCCGACTTTTCCTCGATCACCCGCCCGATGTGCACAAGCGCAAAGAGACCTGCAATGCTTCCATTACCGGCCGTCGTCGATTGCCGTTTGCAGTTTCTGCCATTGGGTGGCATTAAAATTATGAAATCCATTAAGCTTCATTATATCATTGGGACACCGGCATGCTGCCTTAGCTTCGATGCGGAGGTTTTTTAAATCCATACCCTCACTTGGCCAACCCGCCAACAACAGACAAACGATCTCCGACGACCGGGCGAGTCCACCAAGCTAATGATCACTTCTGGTCTGGTTCAGACCGGCGCTCCACGAAGCAATTGCGATCATGTACACTCGCTCGTTCGTTCGTCTATGACCGGTCGCGTGAAACCATACATGGCACTTGAATTGCACATTTCACTAAACAAACCACATTGACCACAAATCGCTTTATTACTGCACTACATAGTTTTTACTTATGTTTCGACATTTTTCCTCAACTCGTTTTTAGTTGCTGCAAGACGGCAAATCTTTTTTTTTTAACATGCTCAATTTGCCAATTTTCCTCGGTAATTCTCGTCTTCATGATTCATTATTAAATTCAGTTCTTTGCTCGCTTGCTTCCACTCACCTTCGCTTTCAGTCAGAATCAGAATCAACGGCACGATACGCACTTCTACGGGGTCCAAACTCACTTTCTTCTACCTCACTAGTACGGCACTAAACTACTACTAATCGGGTGACGCGAACGACTTATTGGCTTTATAGCTTCCACCACTCCTCTACCTCCGGCAACTGTGTGAGACTGAGACTATGACGATCGTGGCGGCGTGGCGGCGGTGGCAACGGCGGCGATGACGACAAGAGACATGTGCGAGCGAACAAGTGAGTGATCCAGCCAGTTGAGCGGTTTTTTTCGGCCGAGCGGTTCGGACCTCACATACACGCATGTGTCCGACTGGCCAAACAACAGCTGATGGCGGGGAAATGTGGAGAAGGTACAGCCAAGTTTACGAAGTTGGATTTGACGAAATGGACGGTATGTCAGGATCAAGATTGAATAGCTGTGCTGAGGGTTCCGTCACTTCTCGATTGTTGAGAATAAACGATCCAAAGAAATAGAAAAAAAAAGATGTAGATTACCACTTACACATCCGGTTTGCTCAAGTCTACAATAGAAGAAGAATAACTATGATTAGAACTACTGACGTCTTTAGAAGCAGAACCTAAGTGGTGTACAGTCAGAAATTCCAAGTTTAAATTGATAGCATCTAATGGCTTCAGGAGGGGTGCTGAAAATCCCCAGCTCCTTTCGTTGATTCATGAGCCACTCACTTCAAGCTTTCCCATAAATTTACTTTCTTCAGTGCAATAACCTGTATTTTCACGGTACGATCGCTGTATTCATCAGGAATAACCTTCTCTTCTAAATTTAGTGGCATTGAAGAAATGGTAGGGCAATTATCGAAATGAAATCCATGTAATAAATATCAAACGATTTAAATATTATGTAATTTATGAAGAATAAAAAAAATCTTACAATATTCTCGCAGAATGACTAGACTGATGTATAAGTAGACTCAATACGTTTTATAAGGTCCAGGCCATCCAGTCCGCATCGTGCTCTCTTGCCGTGCGGATCTATTTTCTTTTTGCTGAAGGAAGTGTTACTACTACCTAAAGCTACATCAAATTTAAACAGCACTTTTCAGTGCTCAACCTGTAAAATTTCTACCTTGTTCAACTTTATTCCTCTTCGATCCTTGCTTGGACCCTACCCGAGGTAGTCCTTCTTGGATATCGATTTGGAAAGTTCCTCTTCGATCCTTCAGATTCTTATAGTAATCTGCTTGGAAGTCGATTTGGATAAAAATTTACTGCCGCCATGGCGCCTAAACACAAAAGAAAGGGGCAAACTCTTGACCCCCCTTCTGATGAAATTAATTTGAGTAATCAATTTGATTTGCTCACGGATGATGAGAATGATCCATCATCCAAGAAAAATTCTAGTAATTTTTCCCGGCTTAATGCCAAGAAGGAAAAGATTCCCCCTATTGTGATAACCACTTCCGATTTCCATGCTCTTCGCATGGAACTTTTGAATTTCGTGAAAGTTAAGTTTTCACTACAAATTGGACGTCGGGGTGAATGCCGTGTATTCGCTGAAACCTTGGACGGATTTAAATGTCTTCTCAAGTATCTTACTGAGAAGAAGCACAATTTTTTTACTTACGACACCAAAACTGAACGTGTGTTCAAGGTTGTCATGAAAGGACTGCCCAGTGGTGAATCCCTGGATCAGATCAAAGATGAACTGGCAAAATTACTTGGAGTTGTGCCACTCCAAGTAATCAAAATGAAAATGAAATCCCGTCCTGGCGATTCGCGCAACGGGATTTCTAATGATTTTTATTTAGTTCACTTCAAGTCTAGTGAACTAAACAACCTTAAGGCCTTAGAAAAAGCTAGCCTTATGCTCCATGTCCGAGTGAAGTGGGAACACTTCAGGAAGACTGGAGGAAATTTCCAAAACCTCACTCAGTGCCGTAAGTGCCAGGGATGGGGTCACGGAACTAAAAATTGCTACATGCCAGCTAAATGCATGAATTGTGGTGATTCCTCTCATGCAAAGGACGACTGTCCTGTGAAGGAAGATCCTAAGAAATTTAAATGTTCAAATTGTGGTGAAAACCACAAATCCAATTTTTGGGAATGTAAGACTCGCAAAGCGATCCTACAATCTCGTTCTAACCGACAGGTAAGAAACGCTCCACGTTTCCGACCAGGTACAAATTCCTCTGCTGTTAACAACGGTCAGCGAGGAACAAATTCTACATTCGTACCCGTAGGTACAAATATCACCCCTACTTCAAATTTTTCATCTGTACCTACTCCCCTCGCTGCTAACAATGTTCAGCGAGTTAATGGAGCTACCTATGCTGCTATTGCAACGGGTAGAAATCAAAATACTAACCAAAGTAATTCTAACGGAAATTTTGACAATTTTGACTTAGGAAGTATTACTGCCCCTAAAATGGAATTTTTACAGAAATCATTAATTGACATGATTTCTGATATACTTAAATCTAACTCCATGTTTGATGCTATTCAAACTGGAGTAAAATTTGCAAATAATATTGTCATGACTTTAAAATTCAGTAATGGATTTTAAAGCATTAAATATTGTAAATTGGAATGCTCGATCTCTTAAAGATAATGAAGCTCGTCTAACTTTTTGAGAGTTCATAACGTGCATATTGCCGTTATAACTGAAACGTTCCTTAAACCTGACCATAAGGTTAAGAAGAACGCAAATTACTTGATTTATAGAAATGATCGTCTTGATGGACCCTGTGGTGGCGTTGCCATCATTATTCATAGACGAATTAAACATAAAATTCTTTCTTCATTTGAAACCAAAGTTTTTGAAACTTTGGGAGTTTCTGTTGAAACAAAATTTGGACATCTTACGTTTATAGCTGCCTATTTGCCATTCCAATGCGTAGGCCAGCAAAAGAATTTTCTCAAGGGTGACCTCCAGAAACTTACCCGTCATAGGTCTAAATTCTTCATTATTGGTGATTTTAATGCAAAACACCGCTCATGGAATAATGCTCAAAGCAATTCCAATGGTAATATTCTGTTTGATGACTGTTCTGCAGGTTATTACACTATGCAATATCCAAATAGCCCAACATGCTTTTCTTCTACAAGAAATCCGTCAACTACTGATTTGGTCTGATCACCTTCCAGTAACTTTTGAAATATCCCAAGAAATAATTTGTAATCCCAACAGCTCTAATTTCAATTACCATAGTCCATAGAGCTGATTGGGAGCAATATCAAACATTTATGGAATATAACATCGATCCAAACATTCCTTTGCAAACCAAAGATGAAATTAATTATGCTCTTGAATCTCTGACTACTTCTATAGTTGCAGCAAGAGCAGCCTCAGTACCAAAATACGAGGTTAAATTCGATTCAATTGTAATAGACGACGATCTTCAGCTATTGATCCGTTTTAAAAATGTCCGTAGGAGACAATATCAAAGAACACGCGATCCTGCCATGAAGGTTATCTGGCGGGATTTGCAAAAACAAATTAAAAAGCGATTCTCTGTCCTGAGGAACAAAACTTTTAAAAATAATATTTCTAAATTAGACCCGAGTTCCAAACCCTTTTGGAAACTCACAAAAATTTTGAAAAAACCTTAAAAAGCCTATTCCAGCGCTTAAAGAAGGTGGTAAAATTTTGTTCACAAATTTGGAAAAAGCTCAGAAACTTGCTAAGCAATTCGAGAGTTCCCATAATTTCAGTTTGGGTCTTACTAGTCCTATTGAGAATCAGGTTGCTCGGGATTTTCTGAATATTTTTCTCGGGAAAATATTTTTGATGATTCCTGGGGGACTGATTTGGACGAAGTAAGGTCTATAACTAAAAAGTTTCAAAATATGAAAGCTCCAGGTGATGATGGAATTTTCTATATCCTCATCAAAAAACTCCCAGAGAGTACCTTGTCTTTCTTGGTAAAATTATTTAACAGATGTTTCCATTTGGCATACTTTCCTGATAAATGGAAAATTGCAAAAGTTGTTCCAATTTTGAAGCCGGATAAAAATCCAGCTGAAGCTTCTAGCTACCGCCCAATAAGTTTGCTTTCTTCAATAAGTAAACTTTTTGAAAAGATAATTTTAAATAGAATGATGCTTCACATCAATACGAACTCAATTTTTGCAGATGAGCAGTTTGGATTTCGCCATGGGCATTCAACTACTCATCAACTCTTAAGAGTTACCAATTTAATTCGTTCAAACAAATCGGAAGGCCACTCAACTGGAGTTGCTCTTCTAGACATAGAAAAAGCATTCGACAGTGTTTGGCATGAAGGTTTGATTGCTAAATTGAAAAAGTTTAATTTTCCACTTTATATTATGAAATTAGTTCAAAATTATTTAACTGACAGAACACTGCAGGTAAATTATCAAAATTCCAAATCTAATCGACTACCTGTTAGAGCAGGAGTTCCTCAGGGTAGCATTCTTGGGCCTATATTGTATAACATTTTCACTTCGGACCTCCCTGATTTGCCTCAGGGTTGCCACAAATCTTTGTTCGCTGATGACACAGGCATTTCCGCTAAAGGAAGAAGTCTTCGTGTTATTTGCAGCAGACTTCAGAAAAGTTTAGATATTGTCTCTTCTTATTTACAAAAATGGAAGATTTCTCCCAACGCTTCCAAAACTCAACTTATAATATTTCCACACAAGCCTAGAGCTTCGTTTTTGAAACCTAGTAGTAGCCACATAGTCACTATGAACGGAGTTCCAATTTCCTGGTCAAACCAAGTGAAATATCTTGGATTAATACTTGACCATAAATTAACTTTTAAAGATCACATTGAGGGCATTCAAGCCAAATGTAACAAATATATAAAATGTTTGTATCCTCTTTCAAACAGGAAATCAAAATTTTGCCTGACGAATAAACTTCTAATATTTAAACAAGTTTTTAGACCGGCCATGCTTTACGCTGTGCCAATATGGTCTTGTTGTTGCACTACCAGGAAAAAAATCACTTCAAAGGATTCAGAACAAAGTTCTGAAAATGATTTTGAAGTTGCCTCCCTGGTACAGTACTACCGAGGTACATAGAATTTCGAATGTTGAGAATTTAGAACAAATGTCCAACAAAATAATTAATAACTTCAGGCAAAAATCGTTGCAATCCTCAATTGCAACGATTAATTCGCTTTATACTTAGATAAGATTTAGTTTTAGTTTTTAGTTTTAAGATATCAATTGTTATACTGACATGCAGGTAAAAAAAAAACTTGTTTAAAATACTTAATTGCCAAGACATGAACAATGTAAAAACACTTAGATATATATCATAACAATTAAGGCTGGTACGTTACTGCAGTAACTGGAGCACCTAGGTTAAAAATGAAATGTAATTTATGTTGAATGAGTGTGAATTGGTGTGAGATGCAAAAATATTGTAAACATTGCTGAGCACTCAAGTGACAACGTCACTCTACCATAACATTCCATACTGCGAACAGTGAGATTTACGTCAATGTCAATAGCTGTTTCGTTTAAAAAGATAAACATAGCAATGAAAGACGAACACCACTAAACATTCGCACATTCTTATGTCCAACCACTACTCGCTAGATGCTCATCTAAATAGAATAAACCTCGTGGACAGCAACATCTGTCGGTGTGGAAACGGTTACGATGACATCGAACACGCAGTTTGGCAATGTACGGATAATGACGCCGCCAGAGAGCGACTTTTGAATACCCTCGAGGCCCAAGGAAGACAACCCTATGTTCCTATCAGAGACGTGTTGGCAACCCGTGATCTCTGCTATATGCAGTCCGTTTATGTCTTTCTTCAAATGTCTAGTATAAGAATTTAATTCCTTTTGTCTTTTGTCTCTCTTTATTAGTTTTTGTTTGTCTTGTCCCCCCGTCTCGATGAGTCTCATCGTCGCCCACTGGTCACCCACCATAGCCGGTCAAACTCCGGACGAAGCTAGAACAGCACTACCGTTCATACTGGCGACAACGCTCTGATGAGACAACGAAACCCTACCTCAAGCTCCTCCCCTGATCCTATCCTTCGAAAATGTACCCTTCTAACCTCGAGTAAGCCGCGAGTAATCGGCCCAACTCCTACTAGACATAGAATTAAGTGAATTTTGTTACACACAGTGAACAATGAATTATCGGCTCCGTAAAGCTAACGCGATTGAGCCTTCCAAATAAACGAACTAGATAAAAAAAAAAAAACATTCGCACATTTCACTAACACTAATAAGCCTGTTCGCCCGGACCTTATTTATATAAAGAACATTGGATGCGACCAGTACCAGTAAACTGAATCGATCACAAAATAAAATGGCATCTCTTTTTTTATCATCTGGCCGAAACTCTTTTTTTAGCATCTGGCCGAAAAAATCATTCAATCATCTCCTCCTTGTACTGATGGCACTCTTACACGAGCTTTCACCAACTCTAAACAAAGTGTTCTTTGAAACACTTCCACAGTTATTAATTGAGAGCTTTCTATGACAACCAATGCAATGTAAATTATGTGGCAAGCACAATGGTACTCTGAGCCAGGAATGCCAATTGCCAGATGATTTTTTCAAAAATCTGTATGAGTGTCAAAAAATATGTCTGTATTTGTCTGTATTCTAGAAAAATCACCGCATTGCAGATTTCGTATTTCCCACACGTATGTTGGCTATAAAATTGCTCGTTACACACTAAACTAAACAAATAAGCATTTTTAAGTCAAAACTTAAAAAGCATTTTGCTGTTTAAAATCACGAAATTAAAAAAAAAATCCCGTTCAGGGTCCATGTACCGAACCATCGGAATTAAGTGACAACGTAAAAAAGGAATATAGGCATGTGGGTAAGGCTAGAAGAAGGGAAAATCTATTATTTCAAATAAAAATAACTGAGAAATGATCAGAACTTACCGAACAGATTTTATTATTTAGTCTTATGTTGCTTAAAAATAGTCGAAAAGCTGTTTTTATGATTTCAGTGATTCCTTTTTTTTATTTTGATGGCTTTTCTATATTCCTTGGACGCTAGGATGCCCTGCATCATAGCTGTATCCATCCTGTTACGCAGTTTAGTTTTGTTTATGGTGATCGATGAAAACATCCTTTCAACTGTCGCTGAGGAGTGTGGCAATGCTAGTAGGGTTGGCACAATTTGTCTGAGATAAGGAAAAGCGATGTCGCCATTCACCCGTTTGGTGGCCAGTACCACTCCCCAAAATTCAACACCATCATTAAAATTAGTATCCATTGACAAATCTATGTTTCTCACCTCGCGGAATTCGTCGTCTACCATTTGCATTTCTAATTCGTTAATAACATTTGAGAACATCCGCAAACCTGGGTACATTGAGGGATGCGTTTTATTTTTGAGATTTTTTGGGTCAATGCCCTGCCTCAAAAGCCTGGCAATGGTTTACGAGAATCATATCATCCATATTGATACGTTTCCCGATTTGATTTACAAGCGTTATGTAGAAGTTCATCGCCATTGAAGTGATGAACATCCTCAAGCTTGATGCTATTGGATGACAAAACATCATCCAGATGATTTTGTACGCCAGTACCCATATAAACCTTTTCCACAGTAGTTTCTGGGTTGCAAAATTAACGAATCCAGGTCTTCAAGCTTCGCAATGTAGTCTGGTCTCATGAAATTATCGAGGATTTCTTTGAGCAAACGAACTAGCTCAGAGTTGAGTCGAAATTTTTAAGGCGCTTCCGATTGGAACAAGCGGTTTAGTTTGTTAACTTTTGGTAGAACAAATTTCAAAAACCTCAAGCAAAGCTCCGTCATGGGCTTTTTCAAGATACCGCTGATTTCTTTCATCTTCTCGGCATCAAGTCCACATTCGAATTAGTATAATTTAAGTATACTCTGAGAGCTGGAAGTCTTTCTAGCATCCGTTTCACCACCTCCTCTAATGACAACCAGTGTGTGGCAGCCGGGTGGAGCGTCAGTTTCAAGTCCATAATTGCTTGAAGCTGTTCAAATTTCAAAAATAATTTTGTTTATTTTATGTTACATTTCAGGAACCAACTGGTAAAAATCTGTACAAAATCTGTATAAAGTTTCAAATATCTGTATAATATATGTAGTCTGTATTGGGGCTGTACGCAACTTTAAATATCTGTATAAATACAGACATATCTGTATATCTGGCACCGCTGCTCTGAGCCTAGGGAATTCGAGATAGTTTCCTACCCGGTAGATGTTCAAGACCGGAACGGGAATCGAACCCACAGCTTTTCGCATGGTAATTCCGTGCCTCAACTGATTATGCTATCTGGAGATATCTCACGTTTATTTATAATAGTGTTTCCCAGAGCAAGGTGCTCCTCCAAGTTTCAACTTCAAGGATCTACACAACGAACTTGTACCGTGGGGATCAAAAATCCATAGACCTTAGAAATGAATCAACATTTCTTGATAGAGCTGGAATTAGGGAGTAACAGCTTTTGTAAACAAGGACTTCTTGCGACTATTCCTTAAAAGTCAAGGCGTTTCAACTCAAATCAACATCACCATCGGGTAGAAGAAGAGTTCCCCTACCCGATGGTAATATTGCTTTGCGTAGGCATCCCTTGAATTCCTAGAAATCATCGAGAGAAGTCATTGTTTACAAAAGCTGTTACGCCCTAATTCCAGCTCTATCTAGATTTGTATATTTAATAAATTTTTTTTATTGGGGTGTACGGATTGTGGTCCCCCAAGGTGCGTCAATTCTAGAAGCCATATCAACCCACACTTCCTCATTTCGTCAAATTTTCCCATAGCAAATGCAATTCATGTCACAGATTTCTAAACCCCATCTCAGCTCTGAGAGTATTTTGGGTTGATCTCAATGCTCTTAAGGACTATAATCAAATAAATCTATAAAAAAGGTCGAAGCACAAAAGATCGAATGACAAAAGATTGAAAGAAAAAGGTTGAAGGTACAAATGGTTGAATCATGAAAAAATCAATTGGACAAAAGATCGATAGGATAAAAGATCGAAAGGATAAAAGGTCTAATCATAAAATAGTAAACATCTTAATAATGATCATTAAAAACCCATATATACTTTGAGCGGGCAAAAAAGGTCAAAGGACAAAGGGTCAAAGGATATAAGGTCGAAGGACAAAAGGTCAAAGTACTAAAGGTCAAAGAACAAAAGGTCGAAAAACAAAAGATCGAAGGACAAAAGGTCGAAGGACAAAAGGTTGAAGGACAAAAGGTCGAAGGGCAAAAGGTCGAAGGAAGAAAGGTCGAAGGAAAAAGGTCGAAGGACAAAATGCCGAAGGACAAAATGTCGAAGGACAAAATGCCGAAGGACAAAATGTCGAAGGACAAAATGTCGATGGAGAAAAGGTCGAAGAACAAAAGCGCTAAGGACAAAAGGTTGAATGATAAAAGTTCAAAGGACAAAAGGTCAAAGGACAAAAGGTCAAAGGACAAAAGTTCAAAGGACAAAAGGTCAAAGGACAAAAGGTCAAAGGACAAAAGGTCAAAGGACAAATCGTCAAAGGACAAAAAGTCGAAGGACAAAATGTCAAAGGACAAAAGGTCGAATAACAAAAGTTTAAAGGACAAAAGATCGAAGGACAAATGTTCGAAGGACAAAAGGTAGAACGAAAAAGGTCGAAGGACAAAAGGTCGAAGGACAAAAGGTCGAAGGACAAAAGGTCGAAGGACAAAAGGTCAAAGGACAAAAGGTCGAAGGACAAAAGGTCGAGGACAAAAGGTCGAGGACAAAAGGTCGAGGACAAAAGGTCGAAGGACAAAAGATCGAGGACAAAAGGTCACAGGACAAAAGGTCTCAGGACAAAAGGTCTAAGGACAAAAGTTCAAAGGACAAAAGGTCGAAGGACAGAAGTTCGAAGGACAAAATATCGAAGGACAAAATATCGAAGGACAAAATATCGAAGGACAAAATATCGAAGGACAAAATATCGAAGGACAAAAGGTCGAGGACAAAAGGTCGAAGGACAAAAGGTTGAAGAACAAAAGATCAAAGGACATAAGGTTGAAGGACAAAAGGTTGAAGGACAAAATATCAAAGGACAAAAGGTCAATGGAAAAAGGGATGAATCATCAAAAAATCAATACGGATAAAGGTCGAGAGACAAATTACCTATCAAAGAACTGCTCATGTTTGAAAGAAGGAGTCAACTCCTTAAAGGCTACATGGATTTTCGGCATTTTAAATTCGATTGTTCTTTTGATTTTATCTACCAAAGAACTGCTCATGTTTGGAAGAAGGAGTCAACTGCAAAAGAGAGAAACATTGTAAACGGATCAAAATGATTGTTAAAACTGTACGAATTGTTTTATGTTTAATGTTTTACAGTTTCAACGTTTTTCCCTTTGATCTTTTGTCCCTTCGACCTTTTGTCACTTGGACCCTTTGTTGCTTCAACATTTTGTCCCTTCGACCATTTGTCCTTTTATTTTTCATGATTCGACCATTTGTCCCTTCGAACTTTTGTCCTTCGAAGTTTGGTCCCTTCGACTTTTGTCCTTCGACCTTTTTTTATTCGAATTTTTGTACTAAAACCGTTTAAATTATGTCAGGGTTTTGTGATTATCTAAGCAAAATTTCGAAAATTTAAGAAAAGCTTTTCGATTTTGACGTAGAACTACGTCTTTGTCGACTATACTGGGGTGCAAATCAAAAAATATGTGTGGTGAAATAGTGTTAGGTTTTGAACGCTTGTAACTTTGTCATTTATAGATGAAATTAAAATCCAAAAATGCCAACTGATAGGATATTACATTAGAAACCTGCTGAAATAAATATTTTTTTTCCAAATTGTCCGTAATAAAACTTTTGCAAAATGTACAAATGATAATGTTATCAATGTTTTCATGAAATAAGCGTTTTTCCCCAAGCCCAGTCATCATAATCGAGTACCACTTGGTTGCACACCGTTCTGAAAAGATATAGAACAGCGCTGCTGTCGCGCTTCTGCTCATTACCGCTTTGGACGGCGTGGCGCTTGGTCCTGCAGTAAGCAGGAGCAAGTCAGTGGTTAAAGGTAATTTGGGTCCGGTTCAACTAAGGGGCTGTTCATTAACTACGAGGGGAGGGGGGAGGGAGGGTTTGCAAGAGTCCCAAAAATTGTCTACGTAGTTAATGAACAGCCCCTAATACGAAACGCGGAAAAGTTATCACCCCCCCCCCCCCCCCCCTCACCTATAACGACAACCAGAAGCTGAACTACAATGTACGCGTAAATACATGGTGTATTATTTTTGAGCTATAATTTTATTGCAGCGAATGTTCAATATATTAAGTTTTCTATAAAAACAAGAAAATATGTAACAGCAAAAAGTTGTCATACTCAAATAGGAGGAGGGAAGGGTGAAGTTGAACCTGCATAGCTTTTTGGTACTTGAGCTTCAAGAAGGTTAGATGATGTTGTGTTCCTATTGCCACATTCTCCCATATAAAAAAATAAAAAAAAACTAAATAAAGTTAAAACAAACTATAACTTTGCAATACATTATTGTAGAGACAAATACATGTGTTTTTACTGTTTTAAGATTATTTAGAACATTATATACTTCAAATATAAAATATTAAAAAATTATGTATGAAAAACCTAAAAAAAAAAATTAAAACTATATGAAAAACCATAAAGTATAAGGTTATTGTACTCAAATTTGGGAAGAGAGCGACAAATGAAACCTTCTCAACTTTATAGTACTTGAGCTAAGCTTCAAGAAAAAAAGTTGTTTTTGTGTCCTCACTTGCCCCATTTTCTCCTAAAAGCTTATGAACCCAAGTAACCAAAAGTTCCGCATTCAACACTTCCAAGTTCCATAAAGTTCAAATAAAGTTCCGACAGAACTTTCAAGTTCCATAAAGTTCAAATAAAGTTCCGGCAGAACTTTCAAGTTCCATAAAGTTGAAACAAAGTTCCGACAGAACTTTCAAGCCACATGAAGCAATCCGCACAAATCTTTTTTTGTAACAAAATTTAATTTACGTGAATATGAAATAATCAGTATATCATAATTCTTCTATTTATGCAACATTCCATACAAAAAAAAAATTAAAATTAATTTCCTGGATTCGAACCCTTGTATTTGGCATGTGATCTACGAATGCTAACCACCGCCACAAGTGTGTTGGAATACCATGTGGGCAATCACCAATTTAAATTCATCAAGGTGTTGTGTTTCGTACTCAAGTCAGTAAGCTGGCTCAGAAAACTCCAACAATAGGCGGGACAACAGCTCACTTTAATATATTTAAGATGACGTAGTGGTTCGTGCTGAGACTCTTACGCAGAAGGACTGGGTTTAATTCTTCAAACAGCTCCATTACTAATATTAATGCTGATAAATCAATACACATTAATACCTGCCTTTAGAAATAATTTTCATAAAAGTGCGAACTAAATATATAGAATTGGTGTAGGGGACAAAAACCTTTTCTAATTTATTTTCAAAAAGTTCCGTTCAAGTTCCGCCAGAGGCTGCTTAGAATGCTCTTCAAGTATGGTACCGGAACTTTCAAGTTCTTATAACGACTTAAAAATGAGGCTGCTTAGAATTCTATAGACCACACACTACTAAAAAGTCATGTAAATTTATGTTCCCTGAGACCGACACATGTAAGCGGGCCTTTTGACATAAGAATCAGTTGAAAGAAACGTGAAAATCAATTCAATCAAAGGTTCTCTTCGTCGACTAGCTGATGTTTCGGTTTGAGAACACTTAATTTTACATGAAATGTTTGTTTACGTTCTATGATTTACGTCCAATATGGATTACGTCTCGTGTAAAAGTAGTTATTTCTAAGTGTGCACCTTCAACCAAGATGCTTACGCCATAAATAGCCTTTTATCAGAACTTTTGGTTACTTGGGAAGTAATGGAAAAAAAAAGATAAAAGTTATTATAACTTTACAAGGAGTAATTGTATTGATTCATGATCTTCAGCAAAAACGTGTATTTTGATTGTTTAAATAATTGTCCAGAACATTGTACACTTAAAAAATGAAATTTAAAGAAGTTAAGTATAAAAAACTAAATTTAAGGGAACTTCCTTAGAAAATGCTCCATAACTTTGAAAATACAGGATTTAGAATTTTGACTTTTTGAGAGAAGATGCTTGTTTTTACATTGCCTACATCTTTGCTTAAGACATCGTTCCCTAATTTTTGACAGTTTTATATTATGTAAGATATTCATACAAACATTTTTTCCGAAGACACTATATGGCTTAAATGTAAAGGCTAGGCTCTAGGAATAAAGTTCCACTTTTTGCCGTTTTGGACCACAGTGCGGTGTACCTTAACTATGATGTTTACTTTCAAAATATTAAACAGGTTGAGAACCTGTATACGAGCTTTTCCTCTGACTTTGAAATTCAATAGCTGAATCCCCTAATTTTCAATGAATGTTGTAGGTGCTTAACTTATTGGAAACCAAACGTTTAATTTGAGAAAAGTCACAGTATTCTATTTTGCAATCATTCTACGAACACGCTGCAAAGTACATAATGACGATGCATGGTAATTTGATGTTAGGGTTGTCCTCCAAATTGGAGATCAAAGAGGTGTTTAAGTCCCGTATGATCGTTATACCCCTTCCTCCCCTACTTCGTTGACATATGAACCAAGATTTTGTTCAATATTTAAAGTACCGTCTTCTGACAGGTAAAACAACTGCCTGTTGCCTTATCATAAAATGCAATCTTCACTTTCTTCTCTGCTTCAGAAACCTAATTTAAAACTAATGATCGAGCTACTGAAAAAAATTAATGTATTTTTTGGAAATTGTTTTATCCCACAACATGCATGGCGTTTTTGTGGACTATACTGAGGTGCAAATCAACAAAAAATGTGTGACGAAATAGTGTCAGTTTCTATTGTAGTCGATGTCGATGTCAAATTTAGTGTACATTGATCACAGCGAAATAACTCAACATTGATCAACCCAAGGTAGTTATGTAGAGGAAATTCTGTCAATTCTTAACCATTACATTAAATTTAAATACATTATCTCATGCGTAAGATGAACCGTGGTCTTTTTATATTATGCTAATATGAATTGTCGCGAGTTTTGAACCATAACCGAAACATTGAAATACTTTAAAATTAAAGATAAAGTATAGTAATCAATAATGCATGACACGTCAATTTTGCGTAGTTTTACGTCATATTGCGGTCGTGTCTAGTACACAACCCTTTAATATTTTTTTTTTCAATTAATTGTTCAGTTTATTATATCTTGATAAAGCTGGAATTAGGGCGTAACAGCTTTTGTAAACAATGACTTCTCTCGATGATTTCTCGAAACTCAAGTCACCCCCACGCCAACCAACATAACCAACGAGAAGGGGAAGTCTACCCGATGATCACGTGGATTTGAGTGGGCGAGCCTTGGCTTTCTAGAAATCATCGAGAGAAGTCATTGTTTACAAAAGCTGTTACGCCCTAATTCCAGCTCTATATATATATGCTCATTAGAGTACGTTCAGGTTTTGTGGCATAAAATTAGTTAAGATTAAATCGTTTTCTTCTAACTATTTAATCTTGTGTAAGAAAATGTCAGCTCCCCCTCTCACCACATAGTAAGAAACTGTAAGAAATGTCAAAACTCCACCTCCCCCGCTACC